GAAGTAGTTTAAAAAAATCTTGGAAACCTCTTCCGTCTAATTTTTGAAGTGGTTTGAAAAAAATCCCGGGGACGTCTCTTGTGCCTGGTTTTTGAAGTACATAGTTTGAAGGAATATGTGGACCACTTTTGTTTTGCTTTTGAAGTAGTTTGAAAGAATTTCGCAGATCCCTTGTCTTGTTGTTGAAGTAATTAATTAGAAGTAATCTTAAAGACCCCATGTATTTATTTTTTCTCTTGTCTGGTTTTTGAAGTAGTTTGAAAGAATCTTGGGGACCGCTATTATTTTTGGTTTTGAAGTAGTTTGAAAGAATCTCGGGGACCACTTGGGCCTGGTTTTGAATTCGTTTGAAAGAATCTTGGGGATCCTTTTTTTTGTTTTTGAAGTATTTTGAAAGAATCTAGAGCATCATTATTGTTTTGTTTTCGAAGTAAGTAGTTTGAAAGAATCCTGGGGACCCCTTTTTGAAGTGGTTTAAAAGAATCTCGGGAACTTCTTCCGTCTGGTTTTTGAAGTAGTTATAAACTCGGGGACCTCTTGTGCCTGGTTTTTGAAGTACATAGTTTGAAAAAATCTGGAGACCACTTTTGTTTTGTTTTTTAAGTAGTTTAAAAGAATTTCGCAGATCCCTTGTCATGTTTTTAAAATAATTAGCTAGAAAGGATCTTAAAGAAAACATGTATTTAGTTTTTGAAGTAATTTGAAAGAATCTCGGGGACCTCTTGTATCTGGTTTTTGAAATAGTTTCAAAGAACCTTGAGGACCGCTATTATTTTGGTTTTGAATTAGTTTGAAAGAATTTTGGGGATCTTTTTTTTTGTTTTTGAAGTATGTACTTTAAAAGAATCTTGAGCATTCCTTTTGTTTTGTTTTCGAAGTAAGTAGTTTGAAAGAATTCTAGGGATAACTTTTATTTCGTTTTTAAAGTACATAGTTTAAAAGAATCTCGCGAACCCCTTTTGTTTGATTTTTGAAGTAGTTTGAAAACGTCTAAAGGATCCCTTGTGCCTGGTTTTTGAAATACATAGTTTGCAAGAATCTGGAGACCACTTTTGTTTTGTTTTTGAAGTAGTTTGAAAAAATTTCGCAGATCCCTTGTCTTGTTTTTGAAGTAATTAATTACAAAGAATCTCGGGGACCTCATGTAATTGTTTTTGAAGTGGTTTGAAAGAATCTCGGGGATCCTTTTTTTTTGTTTTTGAAATAAGTACTTTGAAAGAATCCTGAGGACTCCTTTTGTTTTGTTTTTGAAGTAGCTTAAAAGAATCTTGGAAACCTCTTCCGTCTAGTTTTTAAAGTACTTTGAAAATAAATCTCGCGGACCTCTTGTGCCTGGTTTTTGAAGTACATAATTTGAAAGAATCTTGGGATCACTTTTGTTTTGCTTTTCAAGTAGTTTGAAAGAATGATGGGGACCACTTATACCTGGTTTTGAATTAGTTTGAAAGAAACTTGGGATCTTTTTTTTTATTTTGAAGTATTCTGAAAGAATCTGGAAGATCCCTTTTGTTTTGTTTTCGAAGTAAGTAGTTTAAAAGTATTCTGGGGACCGCTATTATTTTGGTTTTGAAGTAGTTTGAAAGAATCTTGGGATCTTTTTTTTTGTTTTTGAAGTATTTTGAAATAATCTAGAAGATCATTCTTGTTTTGTTTTCGAAGTAAGTAGTTTGAAAGAATCCTGGGACCCCTTCTTGTTTTGTTTTTGAAGTAGCTTAACAGAATCGCGGGAACCTCTTTCGTCCAGTTTTTGAAGTAGTTAAAAACTCGGGGAACTCTTGTGCCTGGTTTTTGAAGTACATAGTTTGAAAAAATCTGGAGACCACTTTGGTGTTATTTTTGAAATAGTTTGAAAGAATTTCGCAGATCCCTTGTTTTGTTTTTGAAGTAATTAATTAGAAAGAATCTCGAGAAACTCGTGTACTTGTTTTTGAAGTAGTTTGAAAGAATCTCGGGGACCACGTGTTCCTGGTTTTGATTTAGTTTGAAAGAATCTTGGGGATCCTTTTTTTTGTTTTTGAAGTACTTAAGTACTTTGAAAGAATCCTGAAGACGACTCCTTTTGTTTTGTTTTTGAAGTAGTTTAAAAGAATCTTGGAAACCTCTTCCGTCTAGTTTTTGAAGTAGTTTGAAAAAAATCCCGGGGACCTCTTGTGCCTGGTTTTTGAAGCACATAGTTTGAAAGAATCTGTGGATCACTTTTGTTTTGCTTTTGCAGTAGTTTGAAAGAATGTCGCAGATCCCTTGTCTTGTTGTTGAAGTAATTAATTAGAAAAAATCTTAAAGACTCCGTGTATTTATTTTTTGTCTTGTGTCTGGTTTTTGAAGTAGTTGAAAGAATCTTGGGGACAGCTATTATTTTGGTTTTGAAGTAGTTTGAAAGAATTTCGAGGATCATTCTTGTTTTGTTTTCGAAGTAAGTAGTTTGAAAGAATCTTGGGAAGCCCTTCTTGTTTTGTTTTTGAAGTGCCTTAAAAGAATCGCGGGAACCTCTTCCGTCCAGTTTTTGAAGTAGTTAAAAACTTGGGGACCTCTTGTGCCTGGTTTTTAAAGTACATAGTTTGAAAGAATCTGTAGACCACTTTTGTTTTGCTTTTGAAGTAGTTTAAAAGAATTTCCCAGATTCTTTGTCATGTTTTTGAAGTAATTAGTTAGAAAGAATCTTAAAGAAACCATGTATTTAGTTGTTGAAGTAATTTGAAAGAATCTCGAGGAACTCTTGTGTCTGGTTTTTGAAGTAGTTTGAAAGAATCTTGGGGACCGCTATTATTTAGGTTTTGAAGTATTTTGAAAGAATCTCGGAGACCACTTGTGCCTGATTTTGAATGAATTTGAAAGAATTTTGGGGATTTTTTTTTGTTTTTGAAGCATGTGCTTTGAAAGAATCTGTGCATTCCTTTTGTTTTGTTTTCGAAGTAAGTACATAGTCGAAGGAATTCTAGGGATAACTTTTATTTTCTTTTTGAAGTATTTTAAAAGAATCTCGAGAACCCCTTCTGTCTGGTTTTTGAAGTAGTTTGAAAGAATTTTGGGGATCCTTTTGTTTGTTTTTGAAGTATTTTGAAAGAACCTGGAGTATATATTTTGTTTTGTTTCTGAAGTAGTTTAAAAGAATTTCGATTCTTTTAAGTAGTTTGAAAGAATTCTAGGGATAACTTTTATTTCGTTTTTAAAGTACATAGTTCAAAAGAATTTCGCGAACCTCTTTTGTCTGATTTTTGAAGTAGTTTGAAAACGTCTTGAGGATCCCTTGTGCCTGGTATTTGAAATACATAGTTTGAAAGAATCTGGAGGACATTTTTTGTTTGTTTTTGAAGTAGTTTAAAAGAATCTCGGAAACCTCTTCTGTCTGGTTTTCGATTTAGTTTGAAAAAAATCTAGGGGATCCCTTATCTTGTTTTTGAAGTAATTAATTAGAAACAATCTTAAAAACTCCATGTATTTAGTTTTTGAAGTAATTTGAAAGAATTTCGGGGGCTTCTTGTGCCTGGTTTTTGAAGTAGTTTGACAGAATCTTGAGGAAAGCTATCATTTTGTATTTGAAGTAGTTTTAAAAAAATCTCGGGAACCTCTTACGTCTGGTTTTTGAAGTAGTTAAAATCTCGGGGACCTCTTGTGCCTGGTTTTTGAAGTACATAGTTTGAAAAATTTGGGGATCACTTTCGGTTTGTTTTTGAAGTAGTTTGGAAGAATTTCGCAGATCTCTTGTCTTGTTTTTGAAGTAATTAATTAGAAAGAATCTTAAAGACACCATGTATTTAGTTTTTGAAGTAATTTGAAAGAATCACGGGGACCTTTTGTGTCGGGCTTTTGAAGTAGATACTTAGTTTGAATGAATCTTCGGGACCGCATTTATTTTGGTTTTAAAATACATAGTTTGAAATAATCTCGGGGACCACTTTGGCCTGGTTTTGAATTAGTTTGAAAGAATCTTGGAGATCATTTTTTTTTTGTTTTTAAAGTATTTTGAAAGAATCTGGAGGATCCCTTTTGATTAAGTAAGTAATTTAAAAGAATTTCGGAAACCTCTTGTCTGGTTTTTGAAGTACTTAGTTTGTAAAAATCTTGGGAACCGCTTTTATTTTGGTTTTGAAGTAGTTTGAAAGAATTGCGGGAACCACTTGTGCGTGGTTTTGACATTTGACGTAGTTTTAAATAATCTCGAAGATCCCTTGTGTTTTGTTTTTGAAGTAGTTTGAAAAAAATCCCGAGAACTCCTTTTGTTTTGGTGTTGAAGTAGTTTGAAAGGATTTCGGGGACACCTTTTGTTTTGTTTTTTAGTGCTTTGAAAGAATCTCGGCGATCTCTTGTGTCTGGTTTTTGAAGTAGTTTGAAAGAATCTTGGGGACCGCTTTTGTTTTGATTTTGAAATAATTTGAAAGAATCTCGGGCTCGGGGGGGACCCCTTATGCTTGGTTTTTAAAGTAGTTTGAAAGAATTTCGGAAACTCGTTTGACTTGTGTTTAAGGGAATTAGAAAGAATCCCAAGAACTCCATGTGTTTAATTTTTGAAGTAATTTGAAAGAATCTTGGAGTCCCGGGATCAGGGAAGGATGGGATTTGCTGAACCAGCATGGGAAAAATTTAAACCGGCGCCTAAAAGGCCAAAATTTAACTTCATTTTAAATTATAAAAAATGTGGATTCGAGCACCGATGTCTTTGGAAGATTCCTCAGTTTCAGATGGTCCCAACCTCCCCTAGAGGGTAGAGGGCTAGAATTTGCATAAACTAATTTCACATTTTTTTAAATTTCTGTTATCATCATTTTAGTTAGACTAGTCAGTATCTTATGTTAATTTTATTATTATACATTTTTAAATAAATCTCGTAAAAAGATCTTAATTTTGTTTACTGTATTCATCAATGTTACGCCACTGTTAATCTTTATACAATCGTCTAACGGTGGCGCCACTCTACCACAACAGACCGTTTCATTGGTCCATTTAAAATTAGTACTTCCCAAACAATTCCTCGAGGGCGCCACTGCCAAAAACCGAGCCTCGTGATTGGTTCAATGCCCCATAACCAACTAACCAACAACAACCAAACGTCAAAAAATTAGCGTCACTTTCGTTTGCTATACGTTTAGAAACCAAAATCTTCAATCATCCCCAAATCCACCAAATAAACCCCGTCCATTTTCACCGAAAGTGTAAAATAACCTCCCAACATGTCAATCGGCGTCCCTATTAAAGTCCTCCACGAAGCCGAAGGCCACATCGTAACCTGCGAAACCATAACCGGCGAAGTTTACCGGGGAAAACTGATCGAAGCTGAAGACAACATGAATTGCCAAATGACTCAAATCACAGTCACTTACAGAGACGGAAGGGTGGCGCAACTGGAAAATGTGTACATCAGAGGTTCGAAAATCAGGTTTCTTATCCTGCCGGACATGTTGAAGAACGCCCCCATGTTTAAAAAACAGACGAAAGCGGGGACTGCTGGCAGAGGGAAGTCTGCGATTTTACGTGCACAAGGTAGGGCGAAGCTTGTTTTGGAGTTTTGTTGCTGATGTTTGTGGTTTTTAGCTGCTAGAGGTCGGGGTCGTGGAACTAATCCGGCTGTGAGGGGCGGCAGAGGCGGCGCGTGGCAGAATCCGGCACAAGGGGCTGCGGGAGCAAGAGGGCGATAATTTAAGAAGATTGTAAATAAATTATAAGTTGTGTGAAGATTTGGTTAAGAATATGAGCAGACTGAGGTCGTGCTGGACTGCGAAATAGGTGTTAATTTTATGGAGTATGAACTAGGAGTAAGTTATAAAAATAAATTTGTACAGTTTTTCAAATAGAAGGGGAAGTGTCCCGTGGAAGGGTTAGTATTTAATTTGCTCCTTTATGAATTCTGGCTTAGTGTTGACATTTAAGGATTTATTGAGATATTCATTAGTTACATTTCAGGGAAGCTAAATGAATGAATCTAAATATTTTTTCTTCAGTGACCACCATTTTAATCAGTTTACTAGATATCAAGGTGTGGCAAATTTTCAATATAAATGAATTACAGATGGAAGCCTAATTAATGTGTTAAAAAAAAAGAATGACAACAGTAACTTGCATTTTTAGTGGGGCACTAATGACTCATACCAAGGACAAATCTGTCAAAAAAATAAAAAGCAAGGGTTTCTAGGGTCTTTGTTGTTATTCTTAGACTGATTGTATTGTTCAAGTTAGCACCAAGTAGGCCAAATCAGAGTAGTAGGATTTTTATCAGGTGCTTGGATATTTCAGATTTTAACTCCACTTTTTCCAGAATCATTTTCAGTGTGACATAATGTAGCTTAGGCACTAAGAGGTATATTTAAAGAAAAAGCAGCCAAACTTGTTTAATTAACTTTCCTAATTCCAAATCTACATCAATACTATATGATTTCTGTACAATACAGATTGAAACAACACATGCCAAAAAACAGTTAAGAATTTTCAAAATTTAAACAAATATTTGTACTTATTAACACCTGATGCTTCATATCACTTGAAACTGAATATTTCCAGTTTTTTACGTTGTTTGTTTCCGAAAATTTACTCCTTGTTCCCAATGTGGATTGTCATCAATCCAAAGAACAGAGTTTCGTAAGTAACGTTCTTAAACCCAGCTTCCTCCATCATAACTTTGAAGTTGTCCTAGAATTAAAAAAAAAGGTAAGTGATGTTATCACTATCAGTCACTTTGAGTAATTTTTTTTTGCTTCCACCGAATTCGATTATTAGCACGTTCAGATTACAAACATCCGCGGTTAAAAGAAAATGAAATTTGGTTGATTTTGTGTCCTCAAAAATTGGATTTTTTTATTCGATAAAAAAAAACTTCAACGTGAAAATTGGCCAGTTTGCTTAAAAAAATTATACAGTACTCTAAAATAGATGGAAAATCAGTAAAAAGATAGGTTACATGTATGAAAAAAAAAAAAAATGTGGGGTGAAACGTAACGCAAGATGTTGCAATTTTGATTTTTCTACCAAAAATCTGAATGAATTTTTTGAGTTTTAAACTTTTAGTTTTTTTATTTTTCAGCAAAAGAACAAATTTATCTAAACTAAAATATTGGAAAATCGGAAAATTGTATCATTGAAACAATGAAGAATACAAAAATTTCAAAATGAAAATCGAAAAACTAAAAAATCGAGACACCGAAAAATTGTAAAACCATGGAAAAAGTAAAAATAAAATTGCAAAAATGGATAATTAAAAAATTGGAAAAACGAAACAATTTTTCAATTTTAATCAAAATGAAATTTTGCAAAATCGAATAACTCTAACAACAACATTAAAAAATGCAACAATTAAAAATCGAGAAACTGAAAAAATCAACAAAAAGAAACAATTTCGCACTTTTTATATCGAAAAACTGCAAAATTTTTCAAATTCTCAATTTTTAATTCTTTATTTTCTCGATTTTTCATTTTTTAATTGCTCAACAAAAGGACAAATTTAATCAACCGAAATTTTGAAAAATTTTAAAATCAGAAAATTGTAACATTGAAACGTCTAAAAATTATAAAGTTGAAAATCAAAAAATTTAAAAATTGAAGAAGCCGAAAAAATGAGAATCAAAAATTGAAAAATGAAACTTGAAATACTGAAAAATTTTAAAATTGAAAAATCTAAAAATGAAAAAAATGAGAAATTAAACAAGTGGATAATTGAAAAAACAACTGAAAAATCGAAAAATTGTAATATAGAAACCTGAAAGCCGTGATTAATTAAAAATCGAGAAATTAAAAAAAAACGAAAAACAAAAATTTCTATAAATTAAATAATCAAAAATACAAAAATCTTTAATTTCAAAATCCAAAGATTTTAAAATGAAACGTGAAACATCGAAAAATGAAAAAATTGAGAAAATCAATTTGATAACTGAAATATCGAAAAATTGTAATACTGAAGCCTGAAAATCTTGATTAATTAAAAATCGAGAAACCGAAAAATCGACAAAACGAAGCAATTCTGCAATTTTCCGATATAAAATTTTTCAAATTCTCGATTTTTAAATTTTCATTTTCTTGATTTTTCATTTTTTAATTGTTCAACAAAGGAGAAATTTATTCAAACTGAACTTTTGAAAAACCGAAAAATTGTAACGCTGAAAACATCAAAAAACAAAACAATTAAAAATCGGAAAATTGAAAAAATCAACAAAAAGAAACAATTTTGCACTTCTTATATCTAAAAACTGCAACATTTTTCAAATTCTCAATTTTTAATTCTTTATTTTCTCGATTTTTCATTTTTTAATTGTTCAACAAAAGGACAAATTTAATCAACCGAAATTTTGAAAAATTTTAAAATCAGAAAATTGTAACATTGAAACGTCTAAAAATTATAAAATTGAAAAATAAAAAAAATTAAAAATTGAGAAGTCGAAGACTTGAAAAAATAAAGAAAAATTGAAGTAACCGATAAAATGAGAATTAAAAATTGAAAAATGAAATTTAAAATATTGAAAATTTTTAAAATTGAAAAATCTAAAATTGAAAAAAATGAGAAATTAAACAAGTGGATAATTGAAAAAACAACTGAAATATCGAAAAATCGTAATATAGAAACCTGAAAGCCGTGATTAATTAAAAATCGAGAAATTGAAAAAACGAAAAACAAAAATTTCTATAAATTAAATAATCAAAAACACAAAAATCTTAAATTTCAAAATCCAAAGATTTTAAAATGAAACGTGAAACATCGAAAAATGAAAAAATTGAGAAAATCAATTTGATAATTGAAATATCGAAAAATTGTAATACTGAAGCCTGAAAATCCTGATTAATTAAAAATCGAGAAACCGAAAAATCGACAAAACGAAGCAATTCTGCAATTTTCCGATATAAAATTTTTCAAATTCTCGATTTTTAAATTTTCATTTTCTTGATTTTTCATTTTTTAATTGTTCAACAAAGGACAAATTTATTCAAACTGAACTTTTGAAAAACCGAAAAATTGTAACACTAAAACATCAAAAAACGAAATAATTAAAAATCGGGAAATTGAAAAAATCAACAAAAAGAAACAATTTTGCACTTTTTATATCGAAAAACTGCAACATTTTTCAAATTCTCAATTTTTAATTCTTTATTTTCTCGATTTTTCATTTTTTAATTGCTCAACAAAAGGACAAATTTAATCAACCGAAATTTTGAAAAATTTTAAAATCAGAAAATTGTAACATTGAAACGTCTAAAAATTATAAAATTGAAAATAAAAAAATTTAAAAATTGAGAAGTCGAAGACTTGAAAAAATAAAGAAAAATTGAAGAAGCCGAAAAAATGAGAATCAAAAATTGAAAAATGAAACAGGAAATACTGAAAAATTTTAAAATTGAAAAATCTAAAAATGAAAAAATGAGAAATTAAACAAGTGGATAATTGAAAAAACAACTGAAAAATCGAAAAATTGTAATATATAAACCTGAAAGCCGTGATTAATTAAAAATCGAGAAATTGAAAAATTGAAAAAACGAAAAACAAAAATTTCAATAAATTATATAATCATATATAATATTGAAACCTGAAAACTCCGATTAATTAAAAATCGAGGAAATTAAAAATTGAAAAAACGAAAAACAAGAATTTCTATAAATTAAATAATCAAAAATAGAAAAATTCTTAATTTCAAAATCCAAAAATTTTAAAATGAAAAAATTAAGAAATTGTAAAAAAATACGGAAAAATTGTAACATCGAAAAGACGAAACACTGAAAAATCCAAGATTTGAAAAAATACAGACATTGAAAAATCGGGTAATTGAAAAGCCAAGAATTGTACACTTGAAAAAAAACCCTAATAATTATTTGAAAAAAATGAAACATTAAAAATCGGGAAATTTAAAAATGAAACAATTACCAAATTGTAAATTTGGAAAAAAAAATAAAAACGTAAAATCGAAAATTTGTAACATTGAAACTTAAAAAGGTGATAAATTAAAAATTGAGAAACTGAAAAACCAAAAGTTCGGAAAATTGTAACACTGCAACATCGAAAAATTGTAAAACTGAAAATTTGAAAAATCAAAAAATTAAAAACGGAAAAATCGAAAAAGAAACATTCAAAAACTGAACAATTTAAAAATTGAGAAATCGAAGGACTGCAAAAATAAAGAAACTCAAAATCGGATAATTAAGAGGTCAACAACTGGAAAAGGAAAAATAGTAACCTTACAAATGAAAAACCTCAAAATTAAAAAAAAAGAAAAATCGAACAATTGCAAAATTGAAAATCAAAAATAGAAAAAACGAAACTTGAAAAAACAACTGAAAATTTGAAAAATTGAAAAAAAGAAAATATAAAAGCGAAAAACTGAAATAGAAAAATACGGAAAACAAAATTTTCTAGAAATAGCAAAATCGACAAATTGTAAAATTAAAAAGGTGAAGAACCGAAAAATTAAAATATCTAGACACTATCAAATCGAAAAATACAAAAAATTAAATTTGAGAAATCAAAAAAATCAAAATGAACATCGAAAAAATGTAAAATTAAAAAATCGAAAACTGAAAAATTGAAAAAAGAAAACGAAACATTGAACAATAAAAACAATTGAAATACCGAAATGTTGAAAAAATAGCGAAATTAAAAAATCGGTTAACGAAAAAATCAACAATTGAAAAATCGAGAAACTGAAAAATCGACAACAAAAAATTAAAAAATACAACAACTCCAAAATAAAAATCGAAAAACTGAGAAATCCAAAAATCGAAAAGCTAAGAATCTTAAAAACTTCAAAAATCGTTGCGAATTAAAAAAAAAATGTTCAAACCACACAGATGAAAGCAATAATAATATTTGTTGTGATTGGTCGGCACGGGTGCGGAAATTAATGTATGCTGGAAAACTCAAGCACAGTCTAAATCACAATATTGATATCTATACTGTGACAAAACGATGGAACTGTGTAAACACTGACCTTGTATAAGCGATTATTACATTTCTCCTTGGATTTTTCCATTCCACTTAAACACAATGACTGACTTAAGTGCTATGAGTACAACCAGTTTTGTTTTTCTTTTTTTACTTATTGTAGTTATTATTTCAACGTTAGTTACCTTGTCAGGAAGATCCTCCAGAGTTTCTGCTAGAAAAGAAGTAAACCGTGGTTTCCTCCATGTGATGATACACTCCAACACCGGATACACTTTTCCGTAGAAAAAATCATGTAACCTGAACAAAATTTACACAAAAATTTCACCAACACATCAAATATGTATAATCTACCAAATAAAAATGGTTCCCTCCGCGCGAAAAGCTTCTAGACATAAAAATTTTCCGCCAGGTTGTAGAATTCTGTGAGCTTCTTCTAATACTTTGTCATAGTGAGTGCAGTTGCGTATGCCGAAAGCTATAGTATACGCTGTAAAACAATTATCCGGAAATGCGGAATATTCAGCATCGTCTTTCACCCACTCCATTGCCTCATAGTCTGGAACTCCTTTCGTTCGAGCTTTACCTGCTTCCAGCATTGGTTGGTTTATGTCACATACGGTCACGTGACAGTTTTTAATTTTGCGTTTTTTGGCGTAATTAAGAACGCGAAATGCGATGTCACCTAGTAACAATGCAAAATTTAATTAGAAATTTATCATCAAAAAATCTATATCTATTTGTATTAAAATTGTCGATCTATAGGATGTCCCAACAATCTAGCAATGGAAAATTACGCATCACATTTTAAACGATTTTCAAATGACATTCGATAAAATAATAATAAATGATTTACCTGTTCCTCCAGCCATATCAACCAATTTTGTGTTCTCGCCAGGATTTAATAAAGTTACAAGTCTGTTTCTCCATATTCGATGAACACCAAAGAATATTACGTCGTGAACGATATCATAAATCGGTGCAAGGAAAGCGAACAATTTATAAACTGAAACATGAAATTGTTGAGATAAAAACGACTTTTATTCGACGTACCTTTGTCAGCTCGCCGTTCCATGTCTCTACTGCATGTAATATTTTCCTTGCTTCCATCTTGCGCTGAATCTGGTTTAACACGAGCACGTCTATTCATTGTAGATCCAAGTTTCAAATTTTATAATTCACGAATAAAAGCCTTGGATTTATGCGTAGACTTCATAAAAAAACCAACATAACATGTTATAAATGCTAATTAGGATTTTAGGTACGCACAATAATTATGATCCGCGACTAAACTAAAATGTGACCAGGAGCTACGATCATCAAATATGGAGGGCCTAGGTTGTGTTTTGAAATGCAGAATGCAACGTCATGTACTCCAAAGATGGAAAAGTGGCCTTAAATTAAAGAGAAGTCTATGGAGGGAACGTCTTGTAGTAATTTTTAACAAACAACGCCTGAAAAATCTGGTTGGTCTGAATAGGTCAATTATAATTGGTTAAAACACTGTTTTTTGCTCTCATTGACGTACACAAAAGTGTAAATTTAATAAGAATGCACACGTCAGTACTTACGTTACCTTCACGTAGTAAATTATTCTTTGCACTTAGCTTAAACTTTAGTGAATAAAAATCAATTCTCGAAAATTTTGTATAAATAATCCGGTTGCAAATTTAATTTCTTTTCTTTTTCTTTTTTCGCTTACGTAAGTGACATAAAAAGAAGAATAGAATGCAAACCTGTTGCTGCACTATGCATGTAAAGACATACAATTAAATTAAGTCGATATTAATATTCATTTTATTGTTTATTTATTTCTGAGGTCAGTATGCTGCATGAAATCGATTTGTCTTATAATGTGCTGCAGATGAAGGTACTTTGTTTTAAAAAAAATTGGTCTAAAGTTATTTAGACAGAACTTCTCTCTCCCCGGAAGCACGGTTAATTAAACAAGTCAAGTTTTTAAAATAAATTATAAAATTTTGTTTCACAAATTAACTTGGTTGAAACTTGTTTCGCCAGAACTTCTATGGCATCTAAAGTACAATAAAACATATCCAGCTTTTCGAGTTGAGTTTTTATTTACACAATTTTGTGATGACGCCATCAACATTTTTACAAGGACACGTATCAATTCAAGAAACTTAAAACATGATGAAAATGGTGGTACATTTTTGCAAGGAAATATGGATTTTGCAATTATGGAGTGGAGCCTAAAAAAAGTCTACACATATAAAACCAAAAAGGGAAAATGTAAGCCCGCCCACCCGCCCTATCTCAATTGTAATGATTTTTTTTTATTCGCCGTGAACCAAGAGGGCGGAGCTTAACTGCAAAATACTTATTTCTTTAAAAGAAGTTAAAAACATATTTTTGAGTATCGTGTTGTTCGAAGAATACTATGTATATTAAGAAAACAAGGCAAATCTCAATTATGATCTTTTTTTTTATTCTTAGAAATATAATACGCGTTTAAAATGGTAATTTTTATGAGGAAGTATAGATTTTGCAATTAGTCTCCGCCCCTAGGTCTGCCAACGAATGAAAACTTCATTATGATTTAGATTTTTCTGAATATAGGTAACGAAGAATATAGCGGAATGTGATGTCCTTTTGTTTATTTTTATCAGTTTTGCGGTATTATCGCACCATTTAAAAGGGATCACACGTATTATTAATATAGCACTTATCTATGTAAAACAGTATAATTCAGTGGCGGCTCGTGACTGTCTGATGTGGTGAGGCGATGATAGAAGTTTGACAATAATAGTAATATTACTTGGTTATACTAGTTAGTAATAATAGAAGTCTTGCCTGAATACCGGTCATTCCCGGGTCAGTGGTAGGTCCCAATAATAATAATAATAATAACACCCATAACACATTGAATCAACAATGTTTTTACAAGTCAAAATTTTGTTGAAAGTAGCACTTTCTTGGAGGGATTCGGGAATAGTTGTGTTCTTTTCTAAATGTTTTAAGCCCATGAAAATTTTAATGTGTACTTTGGAACTTTCATGTAATTTTGCACTTCAGATGAAATTCTTTAAATCGTTATATCCCGGGATGTTGTGTAAATATTACGGCAGAGCCATTTGCCATTTATATGTTTCGTAGGTACCAAGTTGATTTAAAAAACTTGGAGTACTGACGATTCTGTCGCTTATCAGTGGAAGTTAAATGAATTAACGGTTTTGACTGCTCGATATTTAGCAAAATTTGCCGACGTTCTAGCTCGGTTCGCCGCGAAAACGGCGGTTCAAGAAGCAACATGACGATATCGTACTCGGGATTCATTTTTCACTTACCTGTACCCTGTATCTATGAAAGAGACAAAAACACGAAACACCAACACGTGGGTTTTTATTCACGTTCATGCTAATTACCCACGCACCCCGCAACCCTACCGTTCTGTAAAATAAATGGAAAAATGGTTTCATGAGTACGCCGAAATTGGCCGAGAAGCACCGAAGATATCGCCTCAGTTCCGAGCGAACGCATGTATAGGAGTATAGGAGCTGAGCCATGGAAATCCGTGTCTGTGATTGGGCTTCGCTGGCTCAAGTGAACCGACGTTCTGGCCGCTTCAGTTAAAGAACTAGGCGCATAAATCGTACGGTTTTCAACGAAAAATGTCAGCAGGAAGCGTAAAAAATAAAAAATCATGTAGATTTCCCATTTCAACATATTTTTGTAACTAAAAATGTATTGAAAACTCTTTATTAATTATAAATTAAGTCAATCTGTTCTTAAGATATATGCTGTGAGGCGCCGCCTCACTTGCCTCATCTGACGAGCCGCCACTGGTATAATTTGTACGTAGGAGGGAGGTTATGTCATAAATGTGCAATATTACAAAATTACATGTGTAATAGCAAAAAACGAAAATGAAAAATATGCAATAAACACATATATTTCGTTTAATTGCAGGTTAGACACCCGGAAATTGCAACATTTGAGGTTATAACCAAACTATCACTTATTACATACAACTTTTCACTTCTGCGCATTCTTGTAGGCATCCGGTCAGTGTGTCACCTATGACGTCATGTGCGCTTATTGTAAATAGAATAATAGACACATTTTGTTTATTATTTTCAACTTTTTTTGAGTCTCTGTATGTTAATAGTTGCCAAAGCTTATATACCTATTTTTTGCCGTTTTTTTCTTAATATACATGGTCATCTTTTCACAATAAGACAATTAAAACATGGTTAAAATGGTACATTTTTGCAAGGAAATACGGATTTTGCTATTATGGGGCGGAGCCTAATGGCAAAATCGATATTTCCTTATACAAATTTTCCATTTTAAACATGTTTTAAGTGTCATGTTGTAAAAAAAGTCTACACATGTTCAAAGAAAAAGCCAAAATATAAGCCCGCCCACCCGCCCGATCTCTATTGTGATGATTGATTTTATTCGTCGTGAACCAAGAGGGCGGAGCTTAACTGCAAAATACTATTTCTTTGCAAGACATTTAAAACATTTTTTTGAGTATCGTGTTTTTTCAAATTCTTAAATTCCTTGGTTTCTTGAATTTCTTGGAATTTTTTAAATGCCTGAATTTTTTGGATATATTTGTATTCTTGGGATTCTTGGAATTCTTGAAAAATTTTTATTTTCGGAGATATGTATTTGAATTCTCGAAATTCTTGGAATTTTTGGGATTGACATTCTCAAATTTCGGGAATTTTTGTTATTCTAGGAAATCTCAGATTTCTTGAACCTTTCATATCCTCTGCACCTTTTTACATCTTTTTATTTCTTCTATTTCTAGAATTTTTTGGATTTCTTAGGCTCCTTGGGCTTCTTGTGTTTCTTGTGATTCTGGGATTTCCTAAGTTTCTTGGATTTCTTTGGCACATTTTGTTTATTTTTTTCAACTTTTCTTGAATCTCTGTAGGTTAATAGTTGCTAAAGCTTATATACCTTTATTTTGCCGTTTTTTTTTTTAATATACATAGCCGTCTTTTCACATTAAGACACTTAAAACATGGTTAAAATGGTACATTTTTGGAAGGAAATATGGATTTTACAATTGTGGGGCGGCGCCTAATTGCGAAATCGATATTTCCTTATAAAAATTTTCCATTTTAAACATGTTTTCAGTGTCATGTTGTAAAAAAAGTCTACAAATATTCAAAGAAAAAGGCAAAATATAAGCCCGCCCACCCGCCCGATCTCTATTGTGATGATTTATTTTATTCGCCGTGAACCAAGAGGGCGGAGCTTAACTGCAAAATACTATTTCTTTGCAAGACATTTAAACATGTTTTGGAGTATCGTGTATTTTCAAATTCTTAAATTCCCTGGTTTCTTGAATTTCCTGGAATTTTTAAAATTCCTGAATTTTTTGGATATATTTGTACTCTTGGGATTCTTGGAATTCCTGACATTCTTGAATTTCTTGTGATTCTTGAGGTTTTTGTGATTTTAGTATTTTTGGAATTCTTGAAAAATTTTTATTTTTGTATTTATCTATTTGAATTCTCGAAATTCTTGGAATTTTTGGGATTGACATTCTTGGAATTCCTGACATTCTTGAATTTCTTGTGATTCTTGAGGTTTTTGTGATTTTAGTATTTATGGAATTCTTGAAAAATTTTTATTTTTGGATTTATGTATTTGAATTCTCGAAATTCTTGGAATTTTTGGGATTGACATTCTCAAATTTCTGGAATTTTTGTTATTCTAGGAAATCTCAGATTTCTTGAACCTTTCATATCCTCTGCACCTGTTTGCATCTTTTTATTTCTTCTATTTCTAGAATTTTTTGGATTTCTTAGGTTCCTTGGGCTTCTTGTGTTTCTTGAGATTCTGGGATTTCCTAAGTTTCTTGGATTTCTTTGGTGGCACATTTTGTTTATTTTTTTCAACTTTTCTTGAATCTCTGTAGGTTAATAGTTGCTAAAGCTTATATACCTATATTTTGCCGTTTTTTTTTTCTTAATATACATAGCCATCTTTTCACAATAAGACACTTAAAACATGGTTAAAATGGTACATTTTTGCAAGGAAATACGGATTTTGCTATTATGGGGCGGAGCCTAATTGCAAAATCGATATTTCCTTATACAAATTTTCCATTTTAAACATGTTTTAAGTGTCATGTTGTAAAAAAAGTCTACACATCTTCAAAGAAAAAGGCAAAATATAAGCCCGCCCACCCGCCCGATCTCTATTGTGATGATTTATTTTATTCGCCGTGAATCAAGAGGGCGGAGCTTAACTGCAAAACACTATTTCTTTGCAAGACATTTAAAACATGTTTTTGAGTATCGTGTTTTTTCAAATTCTTAAATTCCTTGGTTTCTTGAATTTCCTGGAATTTTTAAAATTCCTGAATTTTTTGGATATATTTGTATTCTTGGGATTCTTGGAATTCCTGACATTCTTGAATTTCTTGTGATTCTTGAGGTTTTTGGGATTCTTGCAATTCCTGGAATTTAACATAGTCGTATACATGCAGTTTGTGACCCCGAGTTGAGTTTGATGACGTCAGCTCAAAATTTTTCCAAATAAATTCTACCCAAAATTCATTCATATTTTTAGTGGTCAATTTAAGAACGAGTCACTCCATTTTCCCGAAAATGTGAAAATACAAACGTTTTTATTTATTAAGAATTATAATAATAATATTCGGAACCTTTTGTCGATTGTAGCTTACAACTTAATAGTTTTGATATTCTGTTTTGAGGGGACCAACTCATTCAAATCAAACTAATTTCTACGTGACATTCTTCCGATGTATAAACACTTTCAAGTTGTTTTCTTAGCAAGAATAACCTGAGAACGTACAGTAATGGAGTCCATCGGGCAATTTGGTACTTTCATATTTTGTCGATATTTCATAACCCCTAGACAAGGCCGTAGCGAGGGGGAGGCTAGGTGATGCTAAGCCTTCCCTAGATCTAGACAAGTTATAATTAACCAAATGTGAATTACGACATCGAAAATCAAAATAAAATGTAGTGTTTTATTCAATAAGCGGAATTCAGAGCAATAAAAAAGTCTGGACCGTCGGCATTGTGATCCGGTTTTGCAATTCGTAGAAAACATCTTTTAGTTTAGTTTACCATAAATAATTTTCAGTTCAGTCTTCAGTCGCACCTCTGTTATTACATACAGCAGACGTGATTAAATTGTTTCGTTGTTTTATTGGTCATAAATCACTATTCAAGCAATTACAATGCATCTGTC